GTCAGAGTCCCAGAGTCTGACGGTGCCAGGAGCCAACAGCAGGGCCCCTGCTCTGGTGGGCACTGGGTTGGACAGCAGACGGGGAGGGGGCATGAAAGGTCACACTGCGTATTCGTGCACCTGCACTGACCAATCCTGGGCCTGTGCCCTTCCATAACGTCTCCCCTCCTGCCTTTGGTGGCGGGGCTGGGACTAAGGGAAGGCCAGGCAGCCCAAGGCCCTCTGCAGTCTGGGTCTGCAGGGCTAAGTGTCAGGAGTGCCCCTTGGGCTGTGTCACCTACACTTGCCACTAATTGAGAGAGAGAGGGTGCCTGGCCAGTCTGCAGCTCCTCCTTCCTGGGACATTCACACGTCTGTGCCTTGTGCCTGCCTGCTCCTGGCACGCGCGTGCGTGCCTGCACGCTCCGTGGCCAAATTCCGAGGCCTTTCCACCTAGTCCAGCGGCGTTGCCTGGTCGGCTCCCGCCCAGACCAGAGCCTGCCTCCCCACTGGCCGCTCTGTGCTCCTGCACGGGGCCGGGCCTCACGCTGTGCTTGTTGTCTGTGATGTGGGTGAAAGTTTCCAGGGCGCATTGGTTTTTCCACTCCACCCATTCTGATTCATGACCTGGACCGCAGCCCCCACAGCGGGGGCACCCTCTTCCCCTTCCTCCCGGCATTCTCGTGTCCTTCCATCCTTCCCTGCCGGCTCGGAGCTGCCCCCGGGCACCGGCTGCCCTTTTGGTCTCAGAGGGTCGTTTGTGCCCGAGGAGGGCGGGTCTCCCTGCTGTCGCCCTGCACGCTGAGGCTGGTCTCCCCGTGAGCCCAGGCACCGTGGTTCCAGGATGGTGGGGACTGCGGGGACGTGGCCTCCTCTGCAGATCTGCCGGTGGTCCGCACCTACCCCGTGAGCCCCACAGCGTGGAGAGGGGGCAGCAGGCAGCGTTGCCGGTGCCTGTGGATGGCCCAACCTGTTGGTTACTCCCGGCCGCAGGCGGGGACTGTGGGCCTGCCCCACCCCTGCGTGCTCTTGTATCCCTCCTGGTGCATATCCCTCCACTGCGTATACCTCCACGGGCTTTGCTTGAAGTCAGAACAAGCGTGTCACGGAATTGTGCCTGCGTTTTGCTCCCAGCCACACAGAAGTCACCTACAAAAGAACACGAACCCTGCCACAGCGGCCACGTGAGGTTGGCCATCCACGACACCCACAGAACTAAACGGCATCCACACCCAGCCCCCATTTTTCTTGCCCGTGAGTCTGTGGGTGGCCCGGGGAGGGGATGGGGGTTTGCCACTGTGTCTGGACTGAGCTGTCTCGCTCAGCATTGTGGTGATTAGTTTTGCGAGTGGAGATTAAAAAAAACAGACCCTAGCTTTTTTGCACCCCTTAGTAGTAAACCACTGCATTCTTTGGGGGACTGGTCAGGTAGGGGGAGAGTCAAGCAGTTGTCCTGGCTTTGCTGTGCAAGAAAGATGTGGGTTTGGTTGTCCTGTGTGGTAGCAGGGTACGGTGGATGAAGGGAATGTAGGGAAAAGAAATGGCAGCCTGCTTCCGGAAGGCCTGCAGCTTTGGGAACCCCTTGGGGGTAGTTCTACTCTCTGCCAGGGTCACCCTAAGGCAGAACTGACTTGGCAACAGGCTTGCTCCTTGGTGTGGATGGTGTCCCGGTGAAGTGCCCAGTTGCTGAGGATGAGAAAGGGCTGGTTATCTGATTCTGTAAGGGCCATGGCCAAGAACACCCAGCAGCAGTGGACCCAGGCTTGGGCTGGCCGGGCCCATAGCTACTCACCAGTAGGGCTCCTTGCACACGCGAGCTGGGCCAGCCCAACCAAGCAAGGCGTACCCGGCAGGCGATGAAGACTCGTTATTAGGGTTTGTGTTCTTAGATGCGCAGCCACCGTCCTCCCAACTGCTCAAGTCTGAGCCCATCGATGCAGCCACTGTGTCCATCCATCTCCTCGAGGGCTTGCTCTTTGTCGCTGCCCCTCTACTTCCCCAAGCATGATGTCCCTCTCCAGGGACTGGTCTCCCCTGACACCGTGTCCAAACTACAAGAGACCGAGTCTCGCCATTGGAGCATCCTGCCTTCTCCACCGAGGAGCATCCTGGCTGTCCTTCAGGACAGCTGCTTGTTCTCTTGGCAGCCCACGGTACTGCCCACATTCTTGGCCAGCGCCATCATTCCAATGCACCGATTCTTCTTCCATCTTTGTTCAGTGGCCAGCTTGCACCTGCTCGCGAGGCGGTTGAAAACACCATGGCTCGGGTCAGGTGCTCTTTCAAGGTGCACTTGAAAGAGGTCTCGTGCAGCAGATTGGCCCAGTGCGGTGCGTCTTTTGATCTCCTGTCTGCTGCTCCCCTGAGCATTGCCTGTGGGCCCAGGCACGACAAAATCCTTGCTAACTTCAGCCTAGGCCCCAGCTGGTGCCGGGAGAGGCCCTCAGTGGTCAGCGTGTAAAGGTTGGCAGCGGGGATGGCAGCCGTGGGCATCTGCATCCACGAGGTCATGTGGTTGGTTGCTGGTGTTGAGATGCTGCTGGATTCACCCCTGTCCTCCCGTCGGGACCACTCACAGCGGTGCTCTAGGACAGAGCAGAGCTGCTCCGCACGGTTCCCAGGCTGCCATCTTTAGGGAGCAGCTGGCGGCCGCAGCCTTCTCCTACTGAGCCACTGCTGGGTCCCAGCTCCTGACCTTTGTCTTCGCAGCCCGCTAGGCCACGCCTGCCCGGGTGCCCCTGTCTCCACCCGGCACGTCCCTGCCACCTTCTCCTCTTCCAGGATGAGCGTGCAGACCATCCGGAATGTCTTCAGCGTGGAAACCGGGTACCGGCTCTCTGACGACCAAATCGTCAACCACTTCCCCAACCACTATGAGCTGACTCGGAAGGACCTGATGGTGAAGAACATCAAGCGGTACCGGAAGGAGCTGGAGAAGGAGGGCAGCCCCCTGGCTGAGAAAGACGAGAACGGGAAATACCTCTACTTGGGTGGGTGCCGGGACAGCCAGCCTGCTCAGACTGCACCCGGAACTGGCCAGTCAGCAGGAACTGGGCACCCCAGCACGGAAGTCGCTGTGGGTGCCTGGGGTGGGTCTGCTGCATGTGTGTTGGCAAGAGCTGGTCCCCTCTGCCCCCGCACGTGGTCACCACTGCATCTAGTGATGGATGACCAGGAGGATGGCATGCCCCCGCGCCATTCCCAAGTCCCTTCACATGCCAGGGCAAAGTTGCACGTCCGTCCCTCTGGGCCTCAGCGCCCTCCTCTGCTAAGTGGGCATGATGACGGGGTGACATGGGCTAAAAGGGTCAGAGTCCCAGAGTCTGACGGTGCCAGGAGCCAACGGCAGGGCCCCTGCTCTGGTGGGCACTGGGTTGGACAGCAGACGGGGAGGGGGCATAAAAGGTCACGGATGGGTCTACCCATCAGCTACCCCATGGGCTGGGCTGACCACATCCCCTGCTGACCAGCACTGGGTGTCTCGGCCTCTCAGACTTCGTTCCCATCACCTACATGTTGCCGGCCGACTACAACCTGTTCGTGGAGGAGTTCCGGAAGAGCCCGTGCAGCACCTGGATCATGAAGCCCTGCGGCAAAGCCCAGGGCAAGGGCATCTTCCTCATCAACAAGCTCTCGCAGATCAAGAAGTGGTCCCGGGACAGCAAGACCTCCTCGTAAGCGCTGGCACGCCGGGCAGCAGTGTCCTGTGGCCCCTCCCGCTGCGCTCTCGGCCCTGATCTGGAGACCCCGAGGGGTGAGGCCGGGTGGGCCTGGCTGTGTCCACTGTAATCCATCCGGCCCCTCACCTAGGGGAACTTTGGGGCGGTGGGTGGGGGATGTGTGGGCTGACCCCATCGTGGAGCAGGGCCCTGTGGGCCTCTCTGCCCCTCGGGGGTGGGACACTGGTCGGCTGTTCACTGGCTGAGTGGTGTAGTGTCTGGGTGACACAGGGACGGGACACAGTGGCCCACCCTCCCTGGGAGGCACGCACGGTGTGGTCTTGGCAACCAGGGACGTCCTCACTGGCCGTGAAAGCAGTGCCTGTGTGCAGTGCAGGCCACACTGACCTGGTGACGGCGGGCCGAGGGCTCAGTGACAGGTGATCCCACAGCGGAGGGTCCATCTTGTTGTGTAACGCCTGTCGCGCCCACCTGACTCAGAGCGGCCTGGAAGGTCAGCGCAGAACTGTCCCACAGAGTTCTCAAGGCCACAGTCTGCAGGGCACAGAAGGGCCGGCCGTGTGGCTGGTGCGAGAGCAGGCAGGGTTTTGTTCTGCTGTGCCTGGGTGGCTGTGGGTCAGAGCCGGCTCCGTGGCACCCGACAGCAGCATCTGTGGAAGCAGGTGGTCTCCTCCTGTCCCTCAGAGCGGCTGGTTGGTTCTAGCCACTGACCTTTCTATTCATGGCTGAGAGCTTAGTCATTGTGCCATGAGGGCTCCCTTCCCACTGGCCATCAGCCTCAAGCACCCAGATGGCCAGGCCCAAGGGGCTGCCCGGGGTTTGCTCACACCGTCCCCCATGGTGCCGACAGAGAGGCCAGTCCTGTGGGGGTGCCACCTCGCCAGATCTGTCCCCCGACGGGCAAGCCGCTCACTGGGCAGGTGGGGGGATAGGGCGGACACTGGCCAGCCCTCGAAGGGCACCTGAGGCAGCCCCCCACCGAGTGCCCACACGCCCGGACTCGGCCGCCCTCCCCAGGTTCGTGTCTCAGTCCACCAAGGAGGCCTACGTGATCTCGCTGTACATCAACAACCCGCTCCTCATCGGAGGGCGCAAGTTCGACCTGCGTCTGTACGTGCTGGTGTCCACGTACCGCCCGCTGCGCTGCTACATGTGAGGCTCCGGGGAAGTGGGGGAGCTGCGCCCGCGCACCAGGGACACCTCCATTCTCTCCTCATTCCTCACTGTTTCCCCGAGCCGTTGGGGAGCCCTGGTGGCATCGTGGTTCCACGTGAGCATGCTAGTCCTGAGGTTGACAGTTCGCAAACCACCAGCCATTCCTCGGGAGAAGGACAAGGCTGTCTACTCTCCAAAGCATGGCAGTCTTGGGAGCTCACGGGCAGTTCTACCCTGTCCTCCAGAGGGCTCGCTGGCGGTGGGTTGGACGCCCTCGGCGTGAGCTCCTGACCCCAAGTGCTGTTGGGGTCACATGACGTGCCTGGCACCTAGTGAGGAGGGTGGGGTGACCCGGGAGGCTGGCTCTCGTTCCACGAATGAACCTGCAGACATTAGAAAGAGCCCAGACCCGCCCCCCCTGCCCACATATCCGAGCTTGTCTGATGGCAGCTGCTGGGCAGGGTGGACTCGGGTGGGGGGAAGGCCAGGCAGCTGTTCCACTTCATGCGAGCCCCTCCTCCAAGTCCAGCGCGACCCCGACTTCCCGTCTAGGTACAAACTTGGGTTTTGCCGGTTCTGCACCGTCAAGTACACGCCGAGCACCAGCGAGCTGGACAACATGTTCGTGCACCTCACCAACGTGGCCATCCAGAAGCACGGGGTGAGTGCGCACATACCAGGCCGCCTCCCCCGGGAGAGCGGCTGACCAGAGGGCAGGCCTTTCCAGGCCCAGCGGGGCCGAGGCAGGGCCCCAGCCTCTGTCCAATGTAGGTGACGGTGATCAGAGTGCTGTCCCTGTGAGCGGACAGCAGCAATGAGGGTGTCGAATGGCACATACCCTTCCTTAGATTTGAGGAGACCGTGATCTCCCCTGGAGGCAGGGGCCCTGTCAGCCCAGCTCCCTGGGGGCAGGGGCCCTGTCAGCCCAGCTCCCTGGGGGCAGGGGGCATGCCAGCTCAGCTCCCTGGGGGTAGCACCTGCTGGGGAGAGGGTGGCATGATGGGAGGGTGGGGGACAGTCGGTCGCCTGGCCTGAGGACGCCCTGCCCCTCCCCTGCAGGACGACTACAACCACATCCACGGGGGCAAGTGGACCGTGAGCAACCTGCGCCTCTACCTGGAGAGCACTCGGGGCAGGGAGGTCACCAGCAAGCTCTTCGACGAGATCCACTGGGTCATCGTGCAGTCCCTGAAGGCCGTGGCGGTGAGGGCCCCACTTGGGAGGGTCTGCTGGGGAATGGGTGGGGCCAGGGGCCCGCTGGCCTCCAGGTGCTGCCCAGAGTCCCCTGGACACAGCACAGGCCGGCTGTGGCCAGGGGATCAGTAGCACTCCCGGCAGGAGCCGGTGCCCTGAGGTGGGCATGCAACCTGCCCTTCCTGTCGTGCCTCCCGATGTCGCTGTCTGGGAGCTATTTCGGGCTGTGGGCCCTCAGCCGCCTCGCCCAGGTTTATCTGCCGCGGGGCAGGCGTCCTCAGCTCCCCTCCCCGTCTCTAAGGGCAGGAGCAGCAGCAGCACCGGGGCCTGCCCGTCAGCTGGGGGAGCCGGACGACCCTGCAACAGGGTCTCAGCCATTCATACAGGACGCCCACAGAGGGCGGGGGCAGGGGAAGTGAGAGCAGGCGTGGACGGGTGGCACAGGGAGGTGTGCCCCACACAGCTGAGGCCCCTCGCCTCTCTCCTCCCTGTGGGAGGGTGGGTGGCCCACCGCTCTGCCCACAGAGCTGGGCCCCAGGCAGACTGGCTCACACAGGTGCGGGGCCTGATGGACAGTGGGGTCAGAGGGGCCGGGACTGGTCCCCATGGAGTGTGCCTCTACGGGCTCACCCCCAGCCTGCACTGCCCTGTGCACCCTGCACACCAGAGCTGGGGTCCGCATCCCCACAGTCGGAGCGTGTGGTGCTGCTGTTCTGGGGTGGGGGTGACAGCACGGTGGACGTGCGTGAAAATATTTACACGGAGCCCCTCACTATTCCCTGCCAGGCCCTGCTCCCCATGGAGCCTTCCCAGAGCCACGGGGGGAGGTCTGGCAGCTTGGGCTCCTGGGGAGGGCGGCACTTCTGGGGAGACCGAGTGTCCACTCTCTTACTCCATGGAAGCCTCTGTTCCCTGCGGCCTGGATGGTGGGCCGAGGTGGGAGTGGAGGCTGGGCTGGCCCCCACCACATCCCAGCTGGGGACTCTGAGCCTCAGGCACCTTCCTGACACCCATGGCCCAAGTGCACAAACCCCTTGTCAGGGCACTCCCACCAGGACCACGGACTGACCAATCCCTCTCAGGAGGCCACAGAGGCTTCATTTGCGTAGTAGACTCCATTGGACTTCATTTACATAGTCAATTGACCAATCCCAGCATGGTGCCTACCAGTCGCAGGACAAGCGGCCAGACAGGTGTCCAACCACAGGTTGCTCAGGCTTGTCCAGATGTGTTGACGCAAGGAGCAGACCTGCTGGGCTGGGCATCTCAGATGTGGTGACCCCTTGGGGGCTGGGGACCAGCGCTATCATGCTGTTTTCCAAAGAACCCAGGAGAGTGGCCGCATAGAGGAGCTGACCCCCACGGGCCTCCCCTGAGCTGTCCGTCCAAGCCCAGGCCATGGGGCAGGCCGGCCGGCATCGTGTGGTGAGCCAGCAGCCTGGGGCTTGGCTGGCTTTCCTTTTTTTTTTTTAAATGCACTTGGAGAACAGTTTGAGAAAATCCTGCTTTCTTAAGTAAGCGGACTTACCATTTTCCGTGACAGGAGAGGCCCCTGTTCTGGCGCCCTGGGCCCCTTCTAGCCTGTCACGAGCTTCCTGGCAGCTGGTGACACTTTCTGCCCGCCTGTCCAGGGTGGATGAGTGACAGCCCAGAGGTGTGGGGCATGGAGACGTGGGGCATGGAGACGTGGGCTGCGAGGGCTGGGCCTCGGGGAGGAAAAGGGAAGGAGGGAGTCAGTCTCTGGATCCAGAGGTAGGAGGGTAGGCGTGATGCACCACCACCCCTGCCCCGAGTGGTCAGTCAGGAGGCTGCTGGTTGGAGACCATGATGTCGGGTGCCTGGAACCCCTACGTCTGTCTGTCTATCTGTCTTCCCAGCCGGTGATGAACAATGACAAGCACTGCTTCGAGTGCTATGGCTACGACATCATCATCGACGACAAGCTGAAGCCCTGGCTGATCGAGGTAGGCACAAGGGGGCTGGGGCTGCGGACAACACTCTGGCCTAATGGTTTGCTGCCCTTTGAAGATGGGAGCACAGCCCCCAGAGGGAGCTGTCCTGGTCCATGAGCTCTCCCTGAGCCCAGTGGCTGCCCAGTGCTTGGCAGACCTGCTCCCTGTCCCATGTAGCTCCCCCACCCCTTGGGGTCTTGCTTCTGCCCAGAAGTTGTTCTCTCCGTCCAGGGATACGGGGTCGGACCTGTGCTCCCAGGATCTAAGTCTGCTTTGCAAGGCTGCTCCTGGGCTTATTTCGAGGCGTGGAGAGGACCCCAGTGGCTGTCCCCTTAGGGCAGTGTGTGCACCATATTGTTCAAAGTCCCACCTCCTAGTGCCCAGCCTGGGTCTCGATCCTCGGCTGCAGCGGGGGGGAGCACCCGTCGGAGGCCCGCTCCCCCGCAACTGCTCTCAAGCTGGTGAGACGAGCCCTGAGGGGGCAGGGTGCCCCCAGTCTGTCGGCTCACCTTCTGGACGCATCCTCTTGTTTCACCCATGGCCCTGGCTGGGCAGGTCAGGAGCTGAGTCTGGGGCAGCATAGGCTCCCTTCTTCATACTTGCCCTGCTGCCAAAGCCCCCGTGTGCACAGGAAGTCATGTGACCGCAGAGAGAAAAGATGACGGAAATTTCCCACAGACTCTGTGAAGCCCCCACGTCTATGTCGTGGTCCTATGCACCATCAAGTTGGTTCCAACCCACTCCCCCCAAGGGTTTCCCTCGCTGTCACCATCATGGGCAGGAGCTTGGCGACCCAGTGGTTCTGTGCTTGGCTGCTGAACCCCAAGGGGGGTGGCTTGAACCCATCAACTGCCCTGCAGGACAAGGTCAGGGCAGTCTAGTCTGCTTCTTGAAGAGACAGACAGGCAGACCTGCTCAGACACTGCTAAGTAGAGACCCTGAAGACAGCACGAAGGGCCGGTCCAGTACGGGGAACAACCAGGACCGCCTGAAGATCCGCTGCCTCGAACCTACAGTGGACAGAGGTCATGAGGACTGGGTCTGGCTCCGGAGCAAACAGGTGCTGTCTGCAGGGCGTGGGCTCCGGCAGAGGCACGCTGTGCTGGAAGGCAGGTTTGCCATGTTGCTCGGCTTTCTCAGAGGTCGTCTGGGACCGCTTTTCACTTATTGGCGGGGTTCCTCATTTGATTTAGAGCATACATGTCCAAGATGATTGGTCATCCGCTCCCTTTTCAGGGGAAAAACCATTACTCAGTGCACCCCCCACAGCCCTCCCCCCACCCCCAATGGGACTGGTCTGGTAGCCCTTCCTCCAGGACAAGGGGTAGAGGTAGGTATCTGCTTCGGCAGCCCTCTGTGGATTGTTCCAGTGCCCCTCCACCAGGGCACAGGAAGGCCTCCTTTGGCAAAGACTGGGTTAGAATGTGGCTTTACTGTAAGGACCCCTGGTGGTGTCACCATGCAGCACTCAGCTGTAACGGCATGTCTGCTGCATTCTGCTCCCGTGAAGATCGTCATCCGTGCTGTTGGGCGCCCGTCGGACCTGCTCCAAGTCAGACTACAGCAGGAAAAGCTGCCCCGCAGAATGAGACCCTGCCCTGCCCTGCGCCGGCCTGACCACCTCTCTCATGTTCAGAGCTATTGTTGCAGCCGCCATGTGCAGCCATCTCCTGCCAGGCCTTCCACTGTTCCACTGTCCCTCCACTTGGCCGAGCACGGCGTCCTTTTCCCGACAGCAGGTCCAAAGAGCAAGAGACGAAGCCGCGCTTCTGAGGAGCCATCTGGCTGTGCATCTAACACGACGGATTTGTGTGTTCTTCCCGCGGTCTCTGGTCACTGGTTCTTCACCAGGGCGCCGCTTCTGCGGTTTTCCTTACCCACGGTCCAGCCTCCAGACTTGCACACACGGCAACGGAGACTCCCTGGCATGGATCAGACGCGCCGCAGCCCTCCAAGGGACAGCTTTGTCTCCGCCATATCCACAAGGTCCTTTGCAGCCTGGTACACAGCTCGCTGGATTCCCTGGGCCCCTGACCACGGTAGATCCCAGGCACACGAAGTCCTTGCCAACTGAAGGCCCCACGGGACCGCTTTACTAGGGGCTGAAGTAAGCTCAGCAGGGCTCCTCTCCTACAAAGCCCCGCCCCTTGCCATTCACTGGACCCCACCATGCCTCCACACGAGGCCCATCCGATGGGCAGATTCTGGCAAAGCTCTGGGAAGATCTGAAGACGGCTGCCCAGACAGGCGGACAGCCCTGGGGAGGACACCTGTGACGGATGTTGATGGACATTTTTTTTTTAATCCAGGTGGTTCACTGACTGATGCTGACCCTAAACCTGCCTCTAACTGTCTCTCTTGCAGCCAGTAGGAACCGACCACACCCTACAGACCGGGGCTAAGCACAGCGTCCGTGACTGCCTTGTCTCTCGAGGACGGCCAGCCCTTTCTTGTGTGCTGCACATTGTCACCCCAGACGCATCCGTGATGTGCGTGACAAACATGGGCCTTCTCCTCCCCCAGGTCAACGCATCGCCATCCCTCACCTCCAGCACCGCCAACGACCGCATCCTGAAGTACAACCTGATCAACGACACCCTCAACATCGCCGTCCCCAACGGCGAGGTCCCAGACTGCAAGTGGAACAAGTCCCCGCCGAAGGAGGCCCTGGGCCACTACGAGATCCTGTGAGTCCCGCGGGCCGAGGGGGTGCCATCTGGATTTCCTGCGCCTGTGGGGACAGGATGTGGTGCTCACAGTGGACTCTGTGGCACGGGTGGTGGTGTCTGGGGCCCGGAGTGCTCCTGTGCCCAGTCTTCTGCCTGGTGAACATTTGTGGAGGATTAGCCAGGAGCTGGGCACGGTGGAAGCTGCTGGGGACGGGGCGGGGCCAGACAGGCACGGCACAGACACTCAGGCCCCATTATGCCGGGTCACGCCCCAGTCCCCCACAGCTCTCCAAGCCTTTGTGAGGGGCCACTCACGGACCCCTGTGCCATGGTCCCTGCAGTCATCAAGGTCCACAGTTCAAAACCACCAGCCACTCGCTGGGAGGAAGACGGGGCTTTCTACTCCCCATGCAGAGGGGCAGTTCTGCCCTGTCCTCGGGTCCCTGTGAACCAGCCTCGACTTGATGGCACTGCGAACAGAGCTCTCACGCGTGGGAGAACCAGTGAGGCGCGTGACCCCCTTATCGCAGTGGTCTGGCCTCGCCCCCTGGATCCCTGAGGTGTGCCTATGTGTGAGCGTAATTTTAAAACTTAACACAACTAACAGAATGGATATTTCACGAAATGTGATGCACACACACTCACATGTGCACACATGCACACGCACACACTTGCTCACACACTCAGGTCTTGGGCGGGGCTCATGTGGAAAGAAGAAGGTAGGGAACCACCCAGGGTGTGGGGGGCTATACCCAAGGTGCTCTGGGTAGGCGGCTCCTGAGGGGCACCTGGGCCGTCCAGCCTGGGCCTCACTGGGTTTGGGGGAGCACACTGCGCTCTCTGCCCTGTTAGCAGCTCTGCTCCTCGGCTAAAGGAATAAAGCTTGTCAGCCCCGCCCCCTCCTGCCAGGACCATGGTACAGGGCTGTGGGGACCTTGTTGTGCATGTGGGAGCAGGAGGGCCCTGCCCGCCTCCCAGGGGTCCTGCGTTTCCTTGGCGCCCACCCCTCCAGCAGAAGGGGACGACTAGGGTGCAGGTACACTTGCCCAGGCCTTGTCTCATGTCCCCTCGTCGCATCCTGGCCTTGCAGCGGCCAGGCCCACACCTCGCCTTCTGCCCAGGGACCCTCTCGCTGTTGACCAAAACTTGGGGCTCCAGTCCTCCCCGAAGGGCTAGGAAGAAAAGCCTGGTGACCTGCTTCCCAGAGGACAGCTGTGGAAAGCCCGGGAGCACAGACCGTCCAGCTGCGACAAGCTTGGGGTCACCAGGGGTCTCAGTGCCCTCGGCCGACCTCGCTGTGGCCTTGTGGGGTGGGAGTGCTGGGAATGCTGCAGGAGCACCCCGGTGGTCTCTGGGGGCCTGGGTGACCTCAGTGTGACTGCTGTGCTTCTAGGTACGACGAGGAACTGGCCCAGGGGGACGGGGCCGACCGGGAGCTGAGGAGTCGTCCGGGGCAGCCGCTGGGGCCCAGAGGCAGCCGGTCCCGGGACTCCGGGAAAGGCATCCTGACAACCTGGAAGTGACGCCATCGGGAGCCCCTGGCAGGGCTGTGGGGTGGGGTGGGGGGGGGTGTCCCGGCCTGGCGGGAGAGCTGCTGTAGAACACTCCCTTTTTCTAAAGCTCTATAAAGAAATAAATAAATGTTTGGGAGGCCAAGGTGTTTACTCTCTGGGACCGGAAGTGCTAGCACACAGACAGATGGATGGACAGACGGGAGTCCCTCGTCCAGCGAACAGCGCACAGCTTTGCAGTGTGACTTAGTTTCCTGTAAGGCAGTCACGGCTGTGAACATGTTGCCCTTCAACCAAAGACTGCATCCTTCAGGCCCCGGGCTGCTGCCAGAAAGCAGGGGCCTTCTGTGACGGGGGCCCTCCCGCCCATCACCTTCCCTGCGCGAGGCCCGAGCTTCTGAAAGGAGGCAGCTGTAATCCTCGTTGGCCCCACCTGGCAGAGACCCCGGGGGGCCTGCTTTCCTCTGCCTTTTTCTCATAAGCCAGTCTGCCCAGGATTCACATGCAGGGAGCTGTCTGCTCCATGCGGCCACAGTGAGTCCGCCCGGCACTGGCTGCAGACCCAGTGGGGAGCCGCTGCCGCCTGCTGGTGTGTTGCTATGAGACCCCTCTGGTCTCAGAGCCCTGGCGGAGCCGCTGTTGTGGTGGTGAGTCAGCCCTGACCCATAGCGACCCTGTGCACAACAGAAGGAAGCACTGCCCAGTCCTGCCCCAGCCTCACCACTTGCTGTGTCCGGCCCGTTGATGCAGCCACTGTGTCCGTCCATCTCGTCAAAGGCCTTCTTTGTCTCCGCCCCTGGGCTCTAGCAAGCGTGATGTCCTTCTCCAGAAACTGGTCTCTCCCCAACGTATGTTCAGAGTATGGAAGAAGTCTGGCCGTCCGGGCCACCAAGGAGCACTCTGGCTGCCTTCTTCCAAGACAGGCCAGTGTGCCCTTTGAGCAGTCCATGATGCATCCAATATTCTACTCCAGCACCACAATTCAGATGCATCCGTTCTTCTACGGTCTTCCTAATTCACTGTCCAACCTTCACCTGCATGGAGGCCATGGGGAATATCATGGCTTGGGTCAGGTGCACCTTAGTCCTCAAGAAACATCCATGCTCTTGAATCAAGTGGTCTTGTGCATAAGATTTACACCATTTGATACGTCTTTTGATCTCTTGACTGCTGCTTCCATGAGCATTGATGGTGGATGCAAGTAAGACGAAATCCTTGACAGCGTTAATCTTTTCTGCGTTTATCACGATGTCCCCCAGTGGTCCAGTTGTGAGCATGTGGGTCTCCTTTACATTGAGTCGAGATCCACACTGAAGGCTGCCGTCTTTGATCTTCATCGGCAAGTGCTTCAATTCCTCGCGTTCAGCAAGCACGGTTGTGTCATCTGCCTATCACAGGCTGTTGATAAGCCTTCCTCCAGTCCTGATGCTGCATTCTTCTTCATATGAGGGGGCACCCCCCACCCCCCCCAAAAAACCAGAGTAAATCTCTGCTGTAGTGTGCATTTTTCCTGCTTGGCGTTCTGAGTTAGTGCATGCAGTGGCGTCACCTGGGAAGGTTCTCTCCAGTCACAGTGAAATCTTTCACAAAAGCAGTTTGGCTCAATCCTCGATTTTTGCGATGGCCGATTTAAGAGAACAGCGTGCAATTGTGAAATTCTGTTTCCTGCTCCAGGAAAAACGCCGCAGAAACTGTTGTGATGTTGAACACAGTTCCAAGGAGAGCACTATGGGAAAAACTCAGGTAGGGGAGTGGTTTTCTTATTTCAAAAAAGGTGAAGTGTTGATTGATGACAAACCTTGTTCTGGACATTGGTCAACCTCCTGAATGGGTGCAAATGTCAACAAAATCCATGCACTTGTGCTTGAAGACCGACTGTGGACCGTTGAAGAGATGGGGAAATTATCTGGACTATCTTGGAGTTCAGTTTAGCGAATTTTAAAGGAAGATTTGGGAATGAGAAGTTGTCTCTATGAAATTTGTGTCTCGGGTTCTGACTGACCAGGAAAAAGGAGCGTGGAAAGGAAGCATGCTACGCTTCGAAAGAACAGCTCTGAACTGACCTAGGCTTTTTCCCCATGATCATTACTGGTGTCAAGACATGGCACTATTCTTACAACCCCGAAATGAAACAGCAACCAACCCAGTGGAAGACGCCATCATTACCACGTCCCCAAAAGCTTGTCAGGTGAAATCAAAGATCAAGACTAAGCTCTTTTTTATTTTATTTTTTTAATGTGAGGGAGATAATGCATTTGGAGTTCATTCCACCAAGTCAGACTGTTAACCAAGCTTTCTATTTAGAGGTTCTGAAAAGGTTGAGTAACAGTGTGAGACAAAAAAGGCCTGACTTGTGGCAGAAAGGGGACTGGTTTTGCCACCACAGCAATGCACTTGCTCATGGAGCCATCTCAGTGCACCAGTTTGGGGCAAAAAAAAACAGCATGCCTCTCTTGCCCCATGCACCTTACTCACCTGACCTTGCTCCGTGTGACTTCTTTTTGTTTCTGAGAATGAAGAGGGACATGAAAGAATAGCGATTTGATGATGTAGCAGAAGTGAAGAAAAAAATGAGGAAGGTACTGTCAGCCAAACAGATGAGTTTGAGAAATGTTTCCAGGAATGAAATCACAGATTTGACAAATGTCTTAATTGTAATATAGAGTACTTTGAAGGTGATAAAGTTGTTTTGTAAAAAAAAAAAAAATTATATAGCTTTGAAAAAAATTCCAGTTTTGGGGGGGTACCCCCCTCTTATAGTCCAGTTGCTCTGATGATTTGCTCAGAATACAGACTCAACAAATGTGCTGAGAGGATACAACCCTGACACACACCTTTCCTGATTTTAAAACATGCAATATTCCCTTGTGTTCACACAGCTGCCTCTGGATTCATGTACAAGTTTCTCGTGAGCACAATGAAGTGTTCTGGAATTCCATTCTCCTCCAGGTGATCCACAGTCTACGATGGTCCCCACAGTCGAATACCTTTGCATCGTCAGTGAAACACAAGTAGCCATCGTTCTGGTGTTCTCTGCTTTCAGCCAGCATCCATCTGACATCAGCAATGATATCCTTTGTTCCCCGTCCCCTTCTGCATCCGCCCGACTTCTGGCAGCTCCCTGTCAGTGTACTGCTGCAACCGTTGTTGGACGATCTTCAGCAAAGTTTTGCTTGTGTGAGATATCCATGATCTCATTCTATAGTTTGAGCATCCTCTTGGGTGCTCTGTTTAGAATGGCACAAATAGGAATCTCTTCCAGTCAGTTGGCCAGGTAGCTGTTTTCCAAATCTCCTGGCGTAGATGAGTGAGTGCTTCCAGGGCTGCTCCAGCTTTCTGAAACATTTCAGTGGTTATCCATCAGTTCCTGGAGCCTGGTTTTTGGCTAATGCTTTCAGTGCAGCTTTGAACTTCTTCCAGCAGCACTTGGTTCTTGCTCATATGCCACCTCCTGACATGGTGGACTGTCGACTAGTTCTTTTTGGTACAGGGACTCTGTGTATTCCTGACATCTTCTCTTGATGCTTCCTGCCTCTAGAATCCTTCAAAGTTGCCATTCGAGGCTGGGATTTTTCTCTTGGGTTCTTTCATTTTCAGTCCTGCTGAGCGTGTTCTTCCCTTGGGGTCCCCTCCTTCTGGTCCTGGCACACTTCAGTGTCACAGCTGGCCTGTCTTCTCGAGCTGCCCTTGGACAGCCCTTGGAAGGCTTCTTCATTTCTTCCAGTTCCTTTAGCTCTGAGGTTCTCAACCTATGGGTCGTGACCCCTTTGGGAGTCAAACAACCCTTTTACAGGGGTCGCCCAATTCATCACAGTAGCAAAATGATAGTGATGACAATAATTTTATGGTGTGTGTGTGTTGGGGGGGGGTGTCACCACAACATGAGGAACTGTATGAAAGGGTCCCAGCATGAGGAAGGTAGAGAACCACTGCTTTAGCTACTCTGTGATTCATAGCAAGTTTCAGTGTCTTCTGACATCCACGTTGGTCATTTCTGTTTTCTTCCTTCCTTATCTTTTTAATGACCTTTTGCTTTCTTCCCAAATGATGGTCTTGAGGTCCCCCCCTGGCTCATCGGGTCCTCTGTCGTTGGTGTTCAATGCATCCGGTCTCTTCTCGAAGTGCAGGTGGGGTACACTCAAGGTTGTCTTTGGGCTCTTGTGGACTGGTTTTCATTGTCTTCAGCTTTATCCTGAACTTACAGGTGAGTGACTGGTGAGCTGGTTGTTCCACAGCCGGCCCCTGGTCTGGTTGTAGCTGCTGATACTGCGCTGCTTACCATGTCTCCCACAGAGGTCGTCTGTTTGATTTCTGCATATTCCATCTGGTGCCGTCCATGTGTACAGTTGCCTTTTGTGTGGCTGGGGGAAAAAAGTTATTTGCTATGAACAAGTCGATGCAAAACTCTATCATGCCATCTCCAGCTGTGTTCTGCTGCGATCTCTGGGGCTGCAGCTGCCAGGTCAGCTGTTGGAGCCATCAGCCACCCCCCAGTCTGCTCCTGCAAAGATGTGCAGCCCAAGGAACCTGAGGGAGAAATTCTACTCTGTCTGTCCTTCCAGGTCCCCCGGAATTAGAATGGACTCCATGACAGTCAGTGGCTTTGTGCCTGCTTTATCTTTACCCCGGGCCCCGGTGACTCCCAGAATCTGAGTCCCAGGTTGGTAGGATTGCCAGGGTCTGGAAGTTCCTGGTGTGGACATAAGAGCGAGAGGCCACCCGGGGCTCTCGCTGACACTGGTGATCGCTGGGACCAAGTCCCCATCTTCTCTCACAAACTCCCCTCCAACTTTGTTCAGATGTTTGACCCAGAGGATGAGGACACAGGCCCCACCCACAGACACGCGGCAGGAGTGCAGGGCACCTGCCTCGTGCAGGCACACTGGCCCGCACCTGCACCAACATGCATCATCACTGCTGGCACAAAGATCCGTGCAAACACCGGGAATGATGGTAGCTCGGGACCGGGGTCAGCCTGGGTGTGGGGCCAGCCCAGCCCCTCATGAGCTCCCTTCTCCAGGCGGACACACA